TATTCCACCTTTCTCCCCAAAAGGACCCAGGATGGCTTGCATAATTAAAATGACACAACATTTAAAAGCTAAAAACAGTAAGTATACAAATTTTAAAAAAGAATTAAACAAGTATTATATTAAAATGGTAACTAAGATCAGTATTGAAACACATTTAAAATAACAGAGCACAACAATTCAATTAAACCCTGTCTTAGACCACCAGTCATTAAGGAAAAGCCTTATAAAACTCTGCAAAGCAAAGGTCTTAAACTGTGGTATGTGTGGATCATTGATGGTCTGCAAGCTTTGGTCCTTTATTTTTTATTTTTGAAAAACAAAAATGTGCATTAATTAAGTGTATTGAACAGGCTAAGAAGATCTAGGCCCTGTTAGTTTCAAAACATGGCACATACACAGTCTGCTAAATATTATTTACAGGTTTATCAATCAAAGAAGCCCTTCTTGGTAATCTGGCCTAGAATTTCAGAGTTTCATAAAACAGTACTAGATTTTATACAATACTGTATTGGTACTGAAAGGAGAAAAGAGGTGTGCTTTGATTAGTTTTTATTAAGTATGCCAGCATTTTTCAAGTGATCCGTGGATCAGGATGGGGGAGAGAATCATGGCTATAAAGCATATAATTAATAATTTTATGGCATTTTAAATATGAATAAAGTTTTAACATGTTCTTTATTCTATGTAGTTAATCCTATTCATGAAAATTCTACCATACACAAGTGCAAATGAGATGCAGAAATTGGTGACCTTACATGCGCTGAAGTTTGAACTTTATCTAGAAATTTAAAAATAGAAATTTATCTATTTATGTAGCAAAGGCAATTACGAAAAGAAAGAATGCACAGAGAAAATTATATTACAAATTGACAAATGAAATGATAATAAAAAATAAGTGCAATACACAAATCCGCATAGTATAGAGCAGAACAACATGTCTTCAAAGTGAAAATTCTGACTATCACCACCAACCTTCCTTCTTAAAGTTGATGCTTTAAAGGCAAAAAATGTACACTTTCTTGAACATACAGAAGAAACTATTCCTCAGTAAAAGGAATTCTGCCAGGCATCCACTATCTAGCAGAAGGCGCAAGTGATAAGCTTAGTTCTTTAAACAAAATTGTTCTTAAGTTATCATAAACTGAGCAACCAAGTAAATAATGGGACAGGTCTTCAAGTGTGTTGGTCCTGCAAGAGGAAACTCTTCTCTCATGCAGGATTTGGTGCTGATGACCTTCAAATATAAAAGAGTTCTGTAGAGCTGTGAAAGCATCTCTCATTTTAAAATTTGACATTTTAATTATATATTGTGGATAAAAAAATTGAACAGGTAGTATAGCACTCCACAGCACACGGGTTGACTGCCAAACAGAAACGCAATCTGCTTGAAAATCACATTGAGGTTTGTAAATATTATTTAATAACAAATCACCTTCTCAAATCATAAAGAGTTCAGAAGATTCAGAGACAGGCTGCACTCATTAATGATCTGAAGAATTTCCTGATAGATCTGTTCTATCGTTAAAAATCAACATCTCTTTAAGATGGTAAATAACAATGTTAAAAGAGATCCCATCCCCTTTGTCTTTTTAAGAGCTTAAATATGTGTTCTGGCCTTCACTGTGGGATAGTCACTCTCCAAATGAAGAACAGAAGTTTCAGTAGACTTAGGCAGACCAAAAAGAGCTTGTAAATATTCATTCTGGGGTATTTCAACATTCACTTTCTGAGTAGACCCCCATATTTGAGCATCATGACAGATACGTGTTGCAGCTTTAGCCTTACAGATTTTAAGGACTGGAGAAACCTGTCTACCATCTCTGCTCCAGTAAAATCTTAATAATGCATGAATTATCTATCTAGCTATCATTTTGTTGTTATCAAAATGCTTCTTCCAATTTCATGTGAGGAAAAAATTATACCTAAGATTTTAAAAAGATATCACTTTTTCTATAAGATGCCCTCAATTTGCCATGTATGGGTTGTTATTGTTACTTAAAACCGGTATTTTGGTTTTTTATTTCTCCAGCTTTACATTACACCGTTGCCAGCTGCATTAGAAGAGTCATTACATTCTCATTCCACTTTGTTACCAAACCCCCCATCTAAGAACAACAACAACATCAACAACAATCAAACACCACGAAGCAACTGAAACCAAAATAAGCAACAGGGAAAAAGTATACCAGACAAGAAAGGAAACAAAATAGCAGCAAAAACAACAATAATTTTTTAAAAAGTAGTCAAAAACATTGTGGCACTTAAAGGCTGTTATATTTTAATGTGAGTTTTCATGGATCAAGTCCACTTCCTTTGACAGAAGAGTGAGAGAACAGTGAAAAGTGATGAGAAAATGTGAAAAATGATGAGCTGTTGTCATGATGAGTAGAAATCTACTCAAACCCTTCACAGAAAGCATAGAGATGGAGAGAAAGATTTCCTAACAGGATCGCCAAACCTAGAAGACTGTTGCAGGAAGAACAGCAGCAGCAACTGTTTTACTTTCCTGGCCAAAATGGTGAAAAATGTCAAATACCTCTCATCGTAAATGTTTACAAACAGCTCCATATTTACAGATACAGGCCAGGTCAGTGTGACCAGAATAAGCATTAAATCCAACAAGGAAGTCATTTTGAAATGGCAGACAGATGTATCACCTGACAAATACAAATATGCACTGATTTTATTTCAGTAATGAATGTAAACCCAAGAATAGTGTTGTTGTTTTTTTAAATTTTCTCAAGAGTTGCACCAGATATTTACATGTTCTGGTAGCGAAAATCATGTGAGAACATGATGCAAATTTTGCCCCTACGCCACTTTATTCCTTGGTAAGAAGTCCTTTAATGTCATTTCTATTAAAATGGATATATTTTTTTCTCACTTGGCTCTCTGTGTCTTCCATTCTGTTGCCTTTACAGCACCCAGCTCTAATGAACTGGGAATCACAAAGCAACTGTGATGCTGGCAAGTCTTTCCCTCTCTCCTCTCTCTGTGAGTGTGTGTGAAGTCATTATTCTTTATTAGCCTCTGTACTTTAATTCTTGCTTTGACTCATTACTTATGAATTTTATCTCTTTACTGCCTTTGAGGTCTGCACCTCCTTTTCTACTATCTTTTAATTTTCAAAAAAGCTGAAATAGCACTGTTATGAGATTTATTGCAAATACTTTCAGAAAAGCACATTATGGGAATATTCACCTTTCTAAGCCTATGTGGTGCCTTAGTTTCCTTCTTCAGCACTGACACAGTTTACTCCTTCCTCTGACTATCCTTTCTTTCTCTTCCAAGGTTAATCACATGTATGACCCTAGCTGATCACCATATAGCGAACAGAATGTTGTCACGGAACAACATAATATAATTAGTTTGGCCTATAGGCGGGATATTAATAATAATAATAATAATAATAATAATAATAATAATAATATATGGTAACATAACAATAAGAATGCACAAGTATTTTTTGCAGACAATCAAAAACATTGTTGGAAAATATAACTGGAAAATTGTATTCTGGCATTACAAAAATATTATACAAATAACTGTGAATGGTTTTGACTCAGCCCCCATAATTACTGTTATTTTATTAAATTTCCAGGTAACAAATGATTATATACTGTACCAGTTAACTGCTGCAGAGAGCGCTGCATCAGGCATTTCTGTACCACAAATGCACTTTTTGAGTGTGTTCCTACAAAGATAGCAAACAAAAGAGAAGAATTACCTTTCTAAGGGTTCATATATCCCTTTGGCATAGTGTCAGGGAATTCCAGCCTAAATTTCTCCTTTTAAATCTTCTTCTTTGTTACAGATCACGAACAAAAACATTTCTCCATTAGCAACTAATGGAAATACTTCTTTTATCACACAAAAGAATGAAAGACCCCAGGTGCCTCGGACAGCCTGTAGCCACACACCTAATCACAGGGGCTTGAGTATATCCCTTCTTAGTCTCACTGTGTTTGTACTGATTTTAAAAACATGTGGTATATGTTTCATCTCATGAGCCACCATTCTGGAACACCCAGGTGATCTTGGACTGCAACTCCCAGGAACCCTGGCCAGTGCATCTGGTGGTGACGGCTTCAGGGAGTTGCAATCCAAGAACACCTGGGTCACTCAGTGTTGGGAACCGCTGTTCTAGAGCATAGCTGCTGTTAGTCAACTGCTTGCCTCCATTAAATTATCTCAGTTCATTGCCTATAGGTGCTTGTAAGCACCTGAAATGTGAAACAAAGTGGTTACCTCTTTGAAGAAGGTAGACCATGGGTAAGAAGCCAGTGTCACACAGAGGTTTTGAACTACAACACCCACCAGCTCCAGGCAGCTTAGACAACAAAAGTAAAAGAGTGAAGAAAATCTGGAGGCCATCGTTTCCCTAGCCTTGGGTTCATATGTAATAAATGTATATCCAAACATTCATGAAATTGCATGATTATCACAAGAAAGTTCTTAAACTACTTTTACATCTCTCCAAAATATATCTGCATTTCTGTATTTTCAGTTGTTAACATATTTCTCTTACACTATTTTTCCAGAAAGTCACGAAACATTCTCAAATATCCAAAGGGCCACCGCCTACAAGGTATGTACCCACAGCAGATATAGCGATTTAGCAACTGTATGTGAAGAAACCAGCAGTTAAGAATACAATATTACTAAACCATAGAAACACACATATATGAAAAGCTGCAACTGTTTACTTCTTTTGCTAGAACATCTCATCGTCTGCAGGCCACCACAGAAAAGGCTCTGCCTCTTGTGTCAATCCATCATCCCTCAGTTGGTAGGAACTATAGAGCAGCTGATTATTTTAAAAGGTGAGCTGTATCTCCAATATCAACATCAAGCTTACCAGGAGTCCTCCAGATTCTATCTGTCCCTCCTCTGACTTCTTTTCTGAAGACATTATGTCTCTACTTCACCCTTCTCTATGAATTCTCAGAGATTATAGGCTGTGGCTCTGAATCACCCACAAGCCTTTTCAACAGCCCAGGGTGAAACTCACATTGCTGTGGTGACATGAAGACATCTCATGTAGTCAGCAGTTCTGTAGCCACTGTCTTACTTATGATGGGCCAGAATTCCTTTCTTATATAATTTTTCCAACTTTTCCAAAGTTGGACACAATTTACTTTGTGGGAGAAGACTGGGAGAAACTAGTAACTGATAATTCCACCTTCTCTGTCTTACATTAATTCTTCACTATGCTCCCCAAACAGTGGACCTACTACCTGTACCTTGTTTTCCCTCTTTCTCCAACCATGGTCAGTTAGGTTCTTCTTGTTCTTTTTAGAATGTCACACAAACTTCAGTTCTTTCTGGGATTCAGCTTTCCTGACATCTTTCTTGTAATTGTGGACAACTTTACTGGGCAACTCATCATTGGTCTGATGGACTTCTTTCTATTTCCTGTCTATACCATTTTAAGAATACCATTCTCCTGATCCTATGGAGTTAAATTTTAAAATGAGCATTGCAAACAGAGTGGCTGGAATCTTGCTCACAATGATGGTGATGATGATAGCATGCTGTCAAGTCAATTCTGATTTGGGTTTTCTAAGTACAAAATACTCAGAATCTGTTTGCCATTCTCTCCTGGGGGGGTGGGAGCCCTCGGAATGTGCAGGCTGATTTTTTTTCCTACAGCTTGCCCATGACTACACAGGCTGATTTTTTTTTCCTAGAAGGCACAGTGAGGAATTGAACTCCCTACCTCTAGCTCTACAACCAGATATATAAACCACTGAGGTAGCCATAAATTATTCCATGTAAGGCTTACAATATCATCAACCACAGTAATGTTTCAGAAATATTTCTGATTTCCCTCCTGAAGGTCCCAAGGCTCAGGTGAAATCCATTCTGGGAAGGGAAAAATCTTTAACTGATGAAAATTACCACCACTAGTCATCCTAACAGCAAAAAGTTTTGGTAATTAAAGATCTGCACCCTGCCCTCCTGTGGTCCCCAGAGGCTTGCTTATCCATGGCAAAAGGAATCCCTCAGGAGCATCAGGACCTTCAGGGCAGAAATCAGAAAGATTTTATTTCCAAAAAAATTGCTGTGGTTGATGACATCATCAGTCTTCTGCACCATCACTTACAGAACAGAATTTCAGCCAAAGGACCTTGCAATAATTTAACATTTTAAATCATGTAATGAATGCAACAGTAACAAGAATCCAATCACAACCCAAATTAGACAGTACATAAATATATGCCCTCTGAATTCCATATCCCAGTGAGGTGCCAGAGCAAGAACTGCTTGGAAAGTTCTACAAACTCTCTTTAATCCAAAAGCAGGACATCCCTGTCTCTGTTTCATAAAGTGACTCCAGACACAAGAATATGATGCTCCAAGGAGAAACCTTAAAGGCTTAAGATAAAATACAGATAGAGAATACCACTGCTGCCAATTTACCCCTTCTTCCCCCGCTGCAAGCATATTCTGTTACCTAAGAGTGCAATCAGATAGCAAAGAAAGATCACATCTGATTGCACCAGAAAAAAATTGTTTTGCCAGGCATGATCTCCCATTCATCCTTCTGTCTGGTTTCGACCCAGGTGATCTTGTCCAGCCCCACAAAAGAACAGTTTGGGCATGGAATGGGGTCGGGCTGGCTTGCTATTGCCTGTGCATTGTGTGCTCACCAGGAAATAGCACGCACCAGACTCTGCCACAACTAGCCCAAAATGGTAGCTATTTCCCTCCCAGATCACACACCGAATAAAGAAATAAGGGGTTAATTCTCCTTCTTAGGGAAACAGAAGCTCTCTCAATTTCCATCTCCCTCTCAAAATTGAAACTACACCAGCATAGCCACATCCTAAGGATATCCCCACCCACTAAGCCACATTAAGTCGTCCTCATTGGTTACATTAGTTGGTCAGGAAGAACTCACGACAGCTTCATCAGATACCTCCCATCTTCCTTACCTTTGGGATAGTTAACAATTGTGCTGTAAGTATTCAATTTCTCAGGATCCCATGAACAATATCCTCCTCCAGAATTTTAAGCCACAGCTTTTTCCTGAGCTCTTTAAAGTCACATTGCCTCCTAAGGTGTAGGATACGTTGGGGTATGGCCATGGTCAGGTGTCATAAACCTTGCTGTGGGGAATTCCAGCATGGCATGGTTGTTTCCACTCAATGTTCCCACCGCTATTGCTTCATCAACCACTTCTTTCCCACACCAGCTGATTCCATTGTGAAACTCCTACTTCCATGAAAAAAAATGTTGTGAGGAACTGGATCAAAGGCCTAGAGCAACATGTTGGACAGATTACTGTGTAAAAGAATTACGCAGTGGGCTTGCACCTCTTAACCTTTGAGCTTTAGTTTAGTGGGGGTGTGCGAGATAAAACTTGGGTTTAGCAAGTTATTTACAAAAATGTTTAAAATGTTTTAATCCATCCTGCAATAAATTCTGTGAAACATTCAATTCTTGACGTAAAAGCAAATCTTCCTTCCACTGTTCTAATCCAGGCTGCTTTTCTTTCAAAGCCTTGTGTGCTACTAGGCTGCATAAACATTTGTGCCATCCAGTTTGCCTGGTGTTACAACAGACTGCTTTAGGTAGAGCAATTCAAAATGAAAGGACAGTCTATTGGGATCACTAAAAATAAAGCAATCATGCCCAGTATTGGGATGAGGGTACATATAGAAATGTACAGAGCTTGCCATACATTTAACATATCCACCTACGTGCCTTCCAGATCTGTTCAATTACAATGCCCAATAGCCAACATGTGGAGAGAACCAGATTGGGAAAAGGGTGAGATGCACGGTGACTTAGAAGGGTGCTTCACTGTATACAATAGGAATTATTCACTAACAACATTTATAAGATGGCAGCCTTGGTCTACATTTGTAGCCTGGAATAAGCTTCATTTAATAGAGATGAATTTACTTTGAATTAAAGCACAAACAATAGAGATTGTTGTGGCACCTTGAATTTATTAGTCTTCATCGTGCAGCAAAAATCTTTACTGTTTTGCTGCAACAAATTACAAGCGAACACAGCTGCCCGTCCAGAAATATCTAGATTAAAATAAACCAGAGACTACTGAAGTTACTTTAATGCCCATAATATCCCCGCCAACATGGCCAGCAATAGAAATAAGTAACTTTTACAAATTTTGAGTAAGCACTAGAGATAAGCACAAAACTGAAAAATGGTGATTTGTTTTCATTTGTGATTCGTCAACGTCAACAAATCACAAATTTACTGTTTTTTCCTGATGAATCAATGAGTCAATTCATTTTGAACTTTAAAACCCTATAAAATGCCCCCCAAGCACCTAGAGATACCAAGTTCACAGGGAAGCTTCCCCTGATGCTCTTCGGCAAACCCTGCAAGTTTGGGGTAGTTTGGGTTTCAGATGTCTGCGTTATAGAGGAAAGTTCCCTCATGCAGCTAGATACACCATAGGAGAAGCTTCTACTGACTCTCCTCTACAATCCCTCTAAGTCTGGTGAAGATTGAGTTTCAGATATTCACGTTATACACCCACAAAATGGGTTCCCTTGGGAAAGTGCCCTTTAGCAGCTGACTTGGGGAAACCCAATCATCACCAAACTTCTCTGTGACACCAGAATCGCAGAGAAGCATTTGATGACTCTCCTCTACAATTCTGCCAAGTTTGGCGAAGATTGGTTTCCGCAAGCCAGCTGCTAAGGGGCACTTTCCTGG